CACTCGCTCGTTTCGAGCCCGTAAATGTTCCAGTTTAATATTCATATTCTCTTTGAAATAAAAAACTTTCCATTTCAAATTAAACCTCCTGCAATTTTGGTACTCGGCTGGAGATACCTTAGAGATACTACCTTGTTTGCTTATCATTTTAGATGAACGCTTCGTCGAATAATCAAATGAACATTACAGGTTTGTCAGATAGGATGTTTGAATTGAACGCAGAATCGCTGGCAAGCCTCGCGCTAATCCTTCATTGCACCGTTTATTTCAGAGAATCGCTGCTTTGTAATCTAATTTGGCCGCAGTGTCCGAGTGAGGACAATTGTAACCAGCTTTAGCGAAATGACTAAACCTGCCGATAATGCAGGAGATTAAAGGATCCCCCTCGAGATGGACGGTTTGGGAATCGATAAAATCAAAAGCAGCCCAGTGAAGTTCAAAGCAGCCTGAAACCGAGTAAGAGGGACGAAGTACGAGCTTCCAGGGCTTTTCACCTGCTGAAAATTGCGATACCACCGGCGTAATCTTGTTGAAAGCTATTAGGTCAATCAGCGACGCGTTGCTAGTCAACGAGAATGGGCTTTTAGTCGGCCAACTTAATTAGAGACGATATCGATGTTTTCAACGCTTCGACAATGTTCGAAGAACATTTTCTTCGGTATAATTTCGCCATTTCTTTGCGATCTACTTAACTATAATCATCATCAACGTACGAGGCGTTTTTTGCATCGACTTCAATCAGGCTCGTTGAAGCTGAGAGATATTTCATGATTAAATGATAAACCGCAAGACGAACGATGTTAATGAATTGTAGGAATGTCAAGGATTCGTTCGTTAATTAAGAAATTCACCGCGAAGGAACGCGGTACAACAGAATTTAAGGTCCTGGAACCGGTATTTTGTCTACCTTTGATCCTTCTCTCGGCGGAACCTTCGTAATTTCATTCAAACGCGATTCCAAAATGGTATAGAGCAGCATGAAATATGCGGGTTTGCTTCCTATATTCCATCTTTATTAATAGCTCGTTATCGGATGCTATTTAGTTTACGTTTGATATTGCTCTCGAATGTAATGAAAGTTTCATCGAATCGATTTCTAATTTAAAATTAAGATCTGCTGGAATTTATAATCCGATTACATCCACGTACAAGTGGAAAGTTTTCAAATTACTGTAATCCAAGATTCGCGTACAGCACCTACGTGCACGTATCTTGTGTACAATGTTTAAGTTATCTAAACGTTATATCGTAATCGTTCTGTTTGTCAAAAACTTTAACTTACAACGCGTTGGCACCGCTTAATGATCAGAATGTTCCGATAACAGGGTTCCCAGCTGATTTTACGAACCACTGGCCAAAACTGGTTCTGTAATTCTGTGTCGTGATATCTTTTGCCTTCCCTCCATCTCCTGATTGTCCCACCTGATATTACGGATCGCGTCGCCACCAGGACCCACTTACACCTCACGCAGGTATTCGAGCCGTTCGTGAAACGTACGGCCGAGAGTGACCAAAAGCATCGGGAATCAGGTTTCAATCGTTACAACGTGACAACGTAACGCAACCCAATCGTTCAGGGATCGGTACAGAAACAGGTTCTGCGATCGCGAGTTGTTCGAAGGCCCTTCTTCTTGTGCTTCGGTTTCTCTTCTCTGATCTCTTCGCTCGACCACCCTTGTTTCACCGAATTTCGCTAGTCGAACGCCCTTAACGTGGGCTCTGAAATACAAAATCTCTTAAGCCGTAGCCACCTGTTCTAGATATGATTTATAAATGACCCATTATCGCTGAAACCTTGCCTTTGTGCGCATCAGCTTTGGAATCCTCTTAAAAGAACTACTTCACCTCTAATTTTTTCATTTCGTAGTATCGTGACCCATAAGTTCACCCGAACAGGTTTACGGTAATCCCTTCACCTACCTTCGAGTGCCAAGGTAAACGGTTCATATAAGTTGCAGGAATCGAATTGCAACAAGAAGACTATTGGTTGTGAACCAATAAGCAACAACAGCAGTAGCAGCAGCAGCAGTAACGGCAGCAATCTAAACGAAAACAGGTTTCTCGATCATTCGCGTGTCGTTTTTCAGATAACTTCCCACCCTATTGTTTCACCTAATCTCACGGGCGAAAACACAGGCTCTCGGGGCCCGTATAGTCAGCGAAGAGTGTAAATATAGGAGGCGGTCGTTCTTTGGGCCTTGCGTACGCCGCTGGCACCTGTCGTGTGGCTTCAGGTAGAAGGAAAGATAGAGGGGAACGGGTTTCGAGATGGGTGGAGGGACAGAAAGCGACCACCATAAGATGGTGGCTCTGGTGTGGTTGTTTCAAGACCGGTTCAGGAATCCGGGGCCACGCTTACACGCCAGTGCTTATCAACTTTTGCCTTCTCGTTGCTGCCTCTTCACCTAAGGCGATGCTGACTGGCAGATCGATGCTAGAAAACACCGGCTCGACGACGATCACGATGACGAGCGGCTTTTACGAGTGACTCGGCTCGGCTCTCTTTCTCTGCTCTTTCTTATCCCCTCCTCGCCGGCAAGTCGTATTTTCTGCAACATTCGCATCACACTGCAACTGGAAGAGGACGCCTAGGTTGTCGGAGAACGATCACGGTGGAAAAACGTTCGAGCTGCTTTTGCATAAGAATACACGAAAAAAGGATAACGAGAGAGGGTATAAAGGGTCGTGCTTCGATATTCAAGTCTCGTTCAGACGGATTTTTCTCGGCGTTGCGTTGATAAGAACAGCCCCGGTCCAGCTGTTTATTGGAATGCACTTTTGATCCAACGCTTCTATCTCGTTGCTCTTCCATTTTCTTGCATTACCCCATCTTCATCGTCAGTCACTTCTTAAAACAGGCTGCTTTGAAGGGACTTCCTGCTCGCGTACGAGCGAGCTTAAAGTATTTTTAATCTCGTTTCATATCCGGAAGCACTCGGATTTATCGATTTTCTTCGGCCAACACGTTTGACGTTTCTGTCGCGACGCAATATCCTTCGAGCGAGCGTATCAGCCTCACCGACGACTCTGCTTCCCCTTTCGATTGCGCTCGTTCGCTTGGAAAACTCCTAGCAAAAAGCTTTCCGTCGAAGGTGTCTCAATCGCGAGCCCCTAGCTCGTGTCGAACAAAACATCGGTTCGACGAGTTAACGAGGTTTGCCGGGGCGAACTGCTTCTTCGATCGAATCGTTGAAAGATTCCTCTGTTAAGGTAGTTCGACCATAATGCCAGACTCTTCCACGTCGCTCCCGTTTCCGTCTTGGATTCCCTCGCGAGGAAAAAACGAGCCTGTTTACTGACATCGAAAATTTATGACCCGTGAGTTCGCAATACGAGCACATCAAGGACTTCGTTGCGACAGAATTATCAGATTCTTATTACCACTGTCGATGTGTAGGGGAGATCGGGACAAAAGTACCAATTTGACTTTGAACGACGATCACGCGAAAACTATAATATTTACTGAAAAATGTTTTATACGAAAATCTTACATAGGTATCTGACATTATTGAACTACAGCAGTTTCGCTTTATGAAAAGTAATATACTTTCGACCCCGATCTCCCTTACTTGATTTCTGTACATAACGAGCAAAGCAACGAATACGATACAGAAATGATAAATTTCAGTCGAGAAGACTTACCGATCGGCCATTACAAAGGAAACTCGAAACTATCTAGACTGTGATACTAGCCAAGCAGCAATTAGTGACGCAACGTCAATTTTACGGATCCTTAATGAGACCCTTAGCAAAGCGTTAGCTGCCTTTACAGAAACACCTTTGAAACCATCATCAAGAGTTACGGATTTAATGGTGGTTTCTAAAAAGCGATATCGATAACCTTCAATTACTACCATATATACAAATATCTAAAAGGAATGTGAAGAATCAAAGAAAACAATTACAACAATTGCGATACATATCGATGAAAATTCACGCGCTAACAAGTGTATAAACGACCGGATGTTTTTCAAGCTCGATGGGCCACGATAAGATCGCAAGTTCATTAAGATTGATCATAAGAAGGAACTGACGCATCGGTAGAAAAATAAGAAAACCTTGAATCTTTGCTATCGTGCAATTAGTCGGTCGTCATTAACATTGCTCGTGTTTCGATGTTTATCCAACTGAAAATCAATTCATTTAAATGCAAATTCAAACGAATAATTAAGTTACTACAATATTGTCTTCGACATTTGACGAATTCGAGTCCGAAAAGAGAAAAAATCAACGCAATAATCCGATAACAAATATACACTGAGAGATTGCTGAAGACGAAGTTGTTTGATTGTTCAAAGCTCCTGTACCGTGAAATGGCACGACGAAGCGTGAGTGTCCTGCTTCGAAAATTATACTTTTACTCGTGGTGATGGGGGACAAGTATGTATGGTTCGGGCAAACGTATCGAAGCGATTCGTTCCGGTGGCAACTGCATTTCAACGTTGAAAGAAGGTAGCTTGGCAAACATAGTCCCCCTTCGGACAAGTGATTTTTTACCGCTTGTTTCAGCAATCATTATGTTTTGTAAGACGAGATTCAGGGGTGCTAAAAATTGACACGTGACGACTTTTTATCACGGTCCGTGCCAGTAAAGTGTCGTGCGGAGGTTGGAAGGAGAACACTGTGTTACCTTTGTAACAATAAGCGACAAGATTTCTACCTGTCCAAGTAGCGACTCGCCATCCCCACTGCTTCGTCATTATTCCGTAAAGGTGATAATACCTGTCTAAGTAACTCGCTCTCGTATTATGAGAGCAAGTGAAAGAGAAATAGCAGGAAATCCTAGAAACGAATTCTCTCTGTTTAAATGGCAAATCGCAGAACCGATCCGATACTTCGTTATCTTTTCTGCATAATAAAAAAGAAATGAGATAAAGTCAGAAGAAAAACGTATATCGCGACGCTGATCCAAACGAGCGACATAATAACACCTCTATATCACATATTCCACTTCAGACGCTCGTTAAATTACCACGATAACACTTGTCGCTCACCTGAACCGAGCTCAAAGTGACACCGATCGTTTCACAACGATCCCACGTCAATCTTGTCGCTCTACCAGACGACAGCGCGCTATTTTGAAGTAAATTTCGCTCAACTTCGCGACAAGTTCAACCGTATCGTCTAATTTTCTCGCGAACTTTTGCAAACTGGCTCGCATCGATTCTTCCTCGAGCCGAGGAATACATCACGGAAATTATAGTTCGACATCGGGAACTGGTTCGTCGAATCGGTAAACGGACATCGCGACCTCATTACCAACAGTCACGAAGATAAATTGTCTAGGTCCTGGAGCATAGCCGTTCGTCCCGGGCAGCGTTTATCACGTTTATTGGCTGCCACGTAGCATTTGATCAGAGACGCGTATCGACATCGTCAAGTTTTATTTCGAATTTCTCGTGAGAGGAACTAGAACCGGTATGCGGGGCGCTGGAACGGTACAAGTCCTCGATCGGAATGTGGATTTACTTATCTTCGAGGCGCGTACGCAGCAAACTGGACGAAGCAAACCAACCATCCAGCGAAAACCCTTGCGGATAGTTGTAATTCGCGATTACATAGCCGTGGAATAAATTGCTACACCGTCTTGCCACGGAATCGCGTAACACGACTAAAATAGGAGCACAACAACGCGTTCAACGCTAGAACGCGAGCATACAGGCTGATTCTGATAACTGTGACGTTCTATAACTCCGTTCCAGGTGAAGCTGGAAAATCTGAGAAAAAAAATGTATTTGCATTTTGCAAATGCACTGATATATTTAAAAAAAAATTCATACAGTGATGTTTGTTTTCCAACTTCACTTGGAAGAGAGGTATAAATTGCCCCAGTTGTTAGAACCACCCTGTATACCTTGTTCACCTGCACGCTCATAGATAAATTGATTACAAGTACAAAAGATACTTGAGATCCTTGCACAGCTTTATCATGTGAAAACGATCGTCTAAATGCTTAAACGGTTAGTAACTATTAATAATAATCTTGAATTATGTGTGAATTATGTCTATTAAATGTAGGCCCACGAGATTCGATACCAAGGACTCATAAAATCTGTTGTAGGTCACGAATTCATGGAACATGACCGAGATACAGAGTATCTTTGGAATCCCACGGGTCTCGAAGTGCTTGAGGCCCGCATGCGCCAGTTTATCAATAATAAAGTCCTATGACTTCAGCATTATTAGTATAAAGTCTCGTGTGTTTAAGGTGACCCCAATTAAGTGACCCTTTATGAGTTCAAGAACGTACCCAAGTGTCTTTGAAGAATAGATATATACAGTTTTGAATTGGAGGAATTGATTTTGACATCTTTGAAGTTACTCCCAGGGTTTTATATTGTTAACAACTCTACCACGACTTTCTTACAGTTGTTCCGACTACGAAGGATACCAAAGCTGAAAAAATCCAGAGAAGAGACCCTTAAACGCGTCCCTTTTCCGTTTTATTAGATTCGCTTGGATTTCATTTCGTGACGGTTAAGCGAACGAGATCTTCGCGCCCAGTGGCCAACTGCCAGCTGATTGAATTTCTTAAAATTACCAAGCCATATAAACCCAGTTAGTAACCCTCGAATCAACTATCCCCGACCATGGGACGTTTTTTATTCCATAAACATGGATAACAATTCGGAAGGACTATCAAAACGAAAATCGTGAACTTACTAATTATTTCATAGATATCAAAATATCTTATTTGTACAATTTAATAACCATACGAAGTCGGGTTAACGAAAGAGGATAAATGACAAGGGCAGAATGAAAAATGACGGTGAAAGACATAATGGAGATTTCTTCGAACCACTGTGCCGTGTTACGTTCGTGGTTCTTCGCAGAATTTTTGCGGTTAATGTAACTGCGGGAATGTCGTTGAACTGTTTTACGTCGAGCTGCTTGAATGTACCTGGACTCGACTACGATCGACTCGACGTGCCGGCAAGAAAATCGAATTATCACCGACTCGCAAAGAAGAGAAAACGTTTTCCCATCGAATGATGGTTGCGCGATGCCCTGTAACTAAAGATAAGTAGGAATGTTACAGGGTTCTAAAAATCTGTAATTTCACGTGAAAATAACTGCGTATTGATTGCGTGTTTGATATGCAACATTGCTCGAAATTGATTTTTCAATTTTGAGTTACAATCAAGGATATTGTTCGTTTTGCGTATCGAATGCAGTATCCAATCCGTGCAGATTTACTTCTCGCGTATACGCGGTGAATACGGCTTAAGTAAATCGAGAACCCTCAAGAACAGACCGCATAATGGAGGGACAGAAATAGAGGCAGAGAGGAGGTTCGCACACCTGTCTGAATCTCGAGTAACAAGCCAGGAGAAACACAAGGCGACCCCACGAATTCGTGCTGCTCCTTTGAGCTCTCCTTTTTAACCCACCGCAGTGAGCACAGCTTGTGCAGAACATAACACAGAAAACCGGTTTCACAGTATTTATGCACCGTATATACATCGCGCCGATTGCGCCTACCAAAGGTAGATGCGCACTGTTATTTCATCCTTTTATCCACTGAATTGTTATAATATGTTCAAAGTTGTATTTGCATGTAACTTACTAGCTTTTAAGGATTTCATTTATTTATGCGATAAATTAGCGTCCGTTACGCTTGTTTTATAGCTGCGCTACTTCTTTGAATACATTTACCCCTTTTAGTAAAGTTTACATTTTACAGAAAAAGTAGCTACAGTTACTTAATTTTGACTGCGGTAAGAGGGAATATTAATATTATATTATTGTAAAATAATTAATTTAGTAAATGAGAAACATTCTGTTAACGTTAGAATTATGTTTATTCATTTGATAATAATGCGCGCTTTGAAAATAGTATCACTAGTGTCATCTAACCGTAAACGGTAAAACTAATGAAACGTTCTCTTTCTCTCAACCATAGACATATGAAAATATAGACCGAGCATAAACTGCTACTTTAGGCAAGGGAGGTTCTGATAATCGGGACAAGGAGGGGACTCGTCTGACATCGACTTATTCCGGCAAGACTCGGTAATATTCGGCTCACATTTCACATGTGTGTGATGTATGTATACCGCAGTTCACCAAAGTCCATACTGCGACGCGCAGGTTGGAAGATGGTGGGGGAACGCAGCGAGCTCTCTGCTAATCGCTTTCCACTTCGTTTGGGAGTATCGCCAATCAGGGCGAAGATGCGCACTGGAGAAGCGCGAAGAACGAAAACTGGTCTTTTCGCAGTTATGGACTCTGGTGAACTGCGGTACAGTATGTGACTGCGGTATACATACACTGACGATGAGTTGCATTGAACTTGTCACAGTGAAGTTGGCCACGCATTCACTCATCGACGCGGCGTGAATGCGTAGTGAATTTGTAACCAACTTCACTGCAACAAGTTCAATGCAACTCATCGTACGGATGCGAAAAGCCGGACATACCCGAGTCTGCGCTTACGAAAATAGTCGAAGTCAGATGAGTTCCCCCCTTACCGCGATTATCAGTTACCCCTCGTACAAAGGCTCGGTATATATTTTCATATGTCTATGCTCTCAACCACAACACAAAAATGATGTAGCTTCCTATCGGTAAATTGCCGATGATAACAGAAGGATAAAGGAAGATACACTTTATCAAAAATTTGTTTACATATATTTATTATCACAATAAAGAAATTAATAGAGTATGCAAATATAGAAAAATAAATATTTTTGTAATATATATTTACCATTTAAAACTCAAAAGTACATTCATTCACACAATCTGGTAACGTGAAAGTATCATCTGAAGACGTTGACTCGGACGATTCTTTAAAAAATTACTCATATTAATAGCAATTCGATTATACTTTGTTAACAGACATAGAAAGAAAAAGAACTTACGAACATGAGTAGCTTTTTGTCCTTCTTCCTCTTCTGTACTTAATGTTCCTTTGTGTTCATCAGTCTCTTCCATTTTCTTAGATTCTTCATAATTAAAATCATCATCTCCTACATCCTCATAAGTAGTAAAGTGAAGATAGGAAAGAGTGCACACAAGTGCTATGAAAAACAAATTTGTGCCAATACCAACAACAGTAGATAAAACTGGCCAATGATACATTAAATAACGTAAACCAGATAAATGTGCATTTATCATGATGGTTGCAGAATAGAATTCAATGTGTCTGGATTGTATCTCAATATAAATAATTGTAACTGGATGACTTTGATCTTCTTCAAAGTTACCAAACAATTCAAGAACAACATTCTGTTTTTCTTCAGTGGTACCAAAAATCATCATTGGTGAAAATGTAAATGTTGTAAGTGCGTGTAGTAAAGTGCTACGGTAATGCAGCATTGCTGATCTACATGAATGTTCCACAAGAAAACCATCTCTACTACGTAGTTGTGCACAAACCATGAACATACCTATTTGAAACTTAAAATTAATGGATTTTACTTTATGCGTTTTTATAAAACTAGTGGAAATTACCAAGTTCTTTATTGGCTGGAGATTCTGGCATTTCCAAATGTAAGTTGACTTTATAAGGTTGTCCAACCATTAAAAGCTGTTGTTTATTTGTTAACTGTACATGTGCTGATGGAAAACTGCAAATCCCTTTTTGTTCATCACATGATCTGTAATAGAAATGAGCTGTATAATCAAGTTTTGCACTTTCAATTAGATTAACGTTTTGGAGTAATACAGAACACAAGAACCAATATAAATTATGATAAATATATTGAATTATTTTTATATGATTAACGTACAAGTGAAAAATGAAGCTCACTTGAATTGCAAATGTACGGGCCGTATGTATGACATACTCGGCATGTAGGCATAATAAAATGCTGTATAAAGAAATACGGATAACCAAACGATGAGAACTCCACTAATAATAATAATTCCGCCACTTAAGATTACATCTCTGGCGGACTGTACACCTCTTGTTGTTTTTTTTTGAACATTAAATAATTTTTGATTGACTTGTTTCAATACCCTTGAAATTAACATTGTGTACAACATTTAACTGTCTCGTAGCAGTTAGTCTGAATGCTACACAATTTTAATTGCGCATTTAGAAATCGCTGCATAAGATAAGATAAACCATTTATTGATCAGTTAATTTCTCTCTAAAGCTATTCAGTAACAGAATATATATAGGTTAGGTGCACTTCATTGTGTATTTACATATATACATAAATACAGCAATAAGGAAACACAGGCCATAATTAATTGTACAATTGTGCAATATACCAAATAAAAAGATACAAAATATAATGCACTCTGAAGTTCAACAACCCTTCAAGGAAATCAATACAATTCCTTACATGAAATATAGATAAATAGTGATAAGGTATTATAATGTGTATCAAGTTTAATTCATTTATTGAATATACATATATAAAATTTATTTATATCTTTATGTCCCTTATACAAGTTTTCGATACAAAAACATGTAAGACTAAATAGTATGTAAGAAACATTCCATAGGAAGTATTAATGCATTTTATGACATATTTTATAAATATGTTGTCAATTATTTTCCTTTTCTATGTTCCAACCGTGGTCTTCCTTTTTTTGTTGTTGGTTTATCTTTCCCTTTATTTAATAATGGATGGGTTTCTACAAAGAAACACATTAATAACACATTGGGTAAGGTTATAATTGTATTAGTAAGTACAAAATATCTTACCATCTACTGGTGCACCTTGCAAATGAATGTCATGAGAACGATGTTTCTTCATAGGTGGTTCATGTGGTGTTGTTTGATTATCTTCTGAATCTTCTACATCTGGTGATATTGGTAAAAATTGCAATGAACCAATGTCTTCCATTTCTTCATCAGAACTACAAAAAGCAGCTACTCTATCAATAGAAGCAACATCTACTTCTATCTCTTCATCTTGAGCTTCTTCACCTTGTACTACTGACTTATCTTCATCACTTAGATCAAATTCACTCTCTCTTTCTTCATATTCAACATTTTCATCCAATTCTTTAAAATCTGGTGCAAATGCAGACCAGTTTTCAACTTGATTTTGGGCCCAAATGGAAACAACACCAGATGAGATTGAAGCAATAATTGGCCTCACCGGATGCCACTGTAATAACATAAATTTTCATGATCTTACCAATCATTTTAATAAAAAGTAGAAATTTGATGACTTACAACAACATCAAGTAATAATTCTCCTTTAGTTCCATGTAAAATTTTTACCAAATTTCCAATACTTTTTTCCCATACATACAAAGCATGTTGTCTTGCAGATCCAGCACATACATACTCTCCATCTCCAGAAAAACAACATTTTTTCCACATGGTTTTATTTACAAGGTCTTGTAATTTTTGTATTGGTTCAGGTTCACCATCTTTACCACAAGCCAATACTTCTGTACTATCATATACACGAATAACCCTATCTGATGTATTTACTAGAAAACAAGAACCACGTCTGGCAAATTCAATACTTTTTACAGCTGTATTACTAGCTGTTCCTTGTGAAATTTTATAAGAAGCTTTTACGTTTAAGGATTCTGCATCAAGAACTAGAATCCTACCACGAGCATTTCCAGTATACACATAATCGCCACGGCGATCAAAAGAGGCAACTATATTTAAATCACTCTAATGGTAAGGTAAAAAGGCTTTGTAAGTAAATGTTAAAAATGTTTAAAATAAATATTAAGTTCATTACATACATCATCATCAAGAGGTATAACTCTGTGAGTGCCCTCGACATCAACCATTACTGCTGCATGTCTCATGGGACAAACTAAAAATTTGTTAAGATTTCTTGGATGAAATTGCACTTTTAATATAGGAGAAGGAAATCTATATTTTTGATCACATTCTCCAGATAAAACATCCCATATGCAAACATTGTTATCTGTAGAAGCGCTTAATAATTTATGTCCATTTCGAGACCAACTGTTTAAGGAAAATGATGACATTGTATAGTTGAAATACAATGACGTTATAACTCTATTTTAAATCATTTACCTCAATGAACACACAGGATGTACATGTGCACTAATTATTTTTGCAACACCTCGGGTTAGAAAATCCCAAATAACAATTCTACCATCATTACACCCAACAGCAAGAAGAGTTCCTCTTTTGTTAAAAGTACAAGTAACAGCTAATGATATGCAATCTAATGTGCCATCAAACTCCTAATGATTATAAACATTATAACATTAATGAGATACAAAAATGAACAACTTATAATACATCAAGAACATGTATATTACCTCTGGATAGTTCTGACCAAATGATTCTAGAAAAGAATTAAAAATGTTAATAAATTTGTAAATACGCAATTAGAGTTTAAAATTAACGATTCTGAATGTACGTACCTAATAATTCTAAATTCATTTTCACTTTCGTTTATATGTCTATTTCATAGAATTTTCTTGAGTATTGTTTTGGGACGATGCTACGTATAAACAATTGTTTGTTTTGCTTACAACACAATTATCAAAGAGTAGGTATATCGAAATTTCCCTAGGCTATCGAGCTGCGCTGCGCATAACATCGTCTTATACACCTTTTGTGGAGCAGATTATATATACTGCAATACATACATATAAAAACAGTTTATTTTTAATAACAAATATATAAATTATATAATTCTTTTTCATTCAACTAATTTGAGATTTTGGGAAGTTGAGCGACACTGATGTGATACATCGAATCTTGTCTCGTGTGTATAGTGTATACAAATCCTACGTTCACGTCAATGCAGTTGACAATTAAACTTCGGTAAGCGTGGGTGTCGCATTTTCGCATTTATAGGAGCAAAGAGATACTTTATATACAATTTATATTTACCAAACAATCAGTCGCATAAAAATACATTAAATAAAAGTTACATCTAACTCATCAAACAATGGTGGATTACAGCAAATGGAAAGATATTGAGGTAAGGATTTTAGTTTTGGTCCAGTATGCTTATGGAATATTCTAGAGTTATAGTAGAAATTTGGAAGATACATTTAATTCATATTTTGAAAAAAGTGTGATGTATTTTCTAAATTTAAAGCACATTTATTTAATTTTAATAAACATTTATTCATGTACATACATACTTATTGATCATGAACTATGGAAAGGGTATACTGTTTTTTAACCATAAAAATTATTAGATTTCTTTAAATATTTAACTTTAATGATTGAAAGCTCTTATTTATGTTTCTTACTATTTAATGTTGACAACTTCTTTGTATATAGTGTATTTATATTTTTAAATTAGTATATTTAAAATATTGTAACATAAGTAATCAACAACGTGCTAAAATTTATACTTATCAGATTTCAGATGATGAGGATGATACTCATCCAAACATTGATACACCATCACTATTTAGATGGCGTCATCAGGCAAGAATTGAAAGAATGGAAGAACGAAGACGTGAGCAACAAGAACATGAAAGAAAAAAAGCAGAGTATGTTCAATAGAATTTTACTTCTATATTTTATATATTCATTAAATATAAGTAGTAAATATAAATTTTTAATTATATGTCTTAAAATTAATATCAATTTTTAGGACAATAAAAAAGTTAAAAGATACAAAGGAAAAGCTTGCAAAGCTAGAAGGTGAACAGAAAGATTCAGCTGATTTAACTGCATTGAAAAAAGTTCTGCAAGATCTTGAAGAAGAACAGAAAAAGATATTAGCGAAAGAAGAAGAAATAAAGAAAAAAGAAAAGTTAACACCTTGGAATGTTGATACCATTGGGCAAGATGGTTTTACAAAAACTGTAATTAACACAAGGCCACCTCGTAAAGAAGATGACACTGGTTTGACAGATGAAGAGAAAGAAAGAAGAATGAAACAGTTTGTTAAAGAAAATGAAAAGAAATTAAAAGAGTTTGGAATGCTAAGAAAGTATGATGATAGTAAGATATTTTTGACTGAAAATCCTCAGTTAGTATGTGAAAATACTGCAAACTATTTGGTGATTTGGTGTATTAATTTGGAAATGGAGGAAGTAAGTACATATATATTTATGAAAACATTTTTTAATTGTTATCCGAATATATATTGTTAATATATTATTGATTCCAGAAACATGATTTAATGGAGCATGTTGCCCATCAATGTATATGTATGCAATATATTTTAGAATTATCAAAACAACTTGATGTTGATCCAAGGGCATGTGTTCGTTCATTTTTCAGTCGTATTCAAACTGCTGAAATAGAATATAAAAATTCCTTTGATGATGAACTTAGAGCATTTAAGGAAAGAATACGTAAAAGAGCTGCTGAAAAAGTAGCAGATGCTCTTAAAGAAGCTGAAGAAGAAGAAAAGAAAGCACGTCTTGGCCCTGGTGGCCTTGATCCCCTTGAAGTGTTTGAAAGTCTTCCAGAGGTATAAATGAATTTATCATACATTTATTTATTATCTTAAAGTACAATATGATTGTATTAATATATTGCTTTTAGTCTCTGAAAAAATGTTTCGAAACGCAAGATATTCCTTTATTACATGAAACAATAGCAGCAATGCCGCGAGAAGAAGCATCCTATCACATGAAACGATGTGTTGATAGTGGTCTCTGGGTACCTGATGCAAAAGCCAAGGAAAAGAAGGATGAAGAAGAATCTTTAGAAGATGTAGAAGGAACACCTGATCCCGAATAATCTAAAACTGTAAAATACTTATGTTGATGTTCATGACTCATTTATGCGAGTATCCTTTAATATCACAAATATGTTAAAATAAAATTGTCGTTGGGCAATGAATATAAAATTCTTACCTCTGATAAATTTTTTTATTGTAATTATATTATATTATCGTATTATACTTTGAGTTACTTCAAGACTGAATTATTGCACAATTCCGAGTTTTTTCTGGAATTGTTAATTAAATCGGAACGATTGTTAAAATGTGATACATTTTACTTGGTTTGTTGGATTGGAATATTTGGAATTTTCTTTTAATAGGAATATTCACAAATATTAATATCTGTATGTATGTATGAAGTAATACGTATAAAACATTTGTAAATATATAAATTCAATCTATTGTGTATGTGTTCCATATATATCTTATCTTTCGTTATTACATATGTACATTACAAAATGTAAATAAAGAACTTGTATTCAATCCAGTTGTTTTTAAAAATTTTTTTTTTATGTGAAATACATTTATTTCAAGACTTGTTAAATGTTTCGAAGCATTTGAAAGCGATAAAAAGAATCTTGTGAAGGTCACTTTTTTCTTAACTTTAGTAGTAACGGAAATAATTTACATACTCGATTTAAAATTAACATCCTGCATATTAATTTATATTAAACAAACTTTAACAATTACGAATTAAGTTCGTAGTATGTTAATGCAATATAATAATTATTGTTTGTTTCTTTATCAGTTTTGAAAATTTTGTTATCTTAAAACAGTATATTACTGTTTAATATACGCGCGCTTAAACTCGAACGAGAAATCGATTTGTATTATGGCGAGAAGTCGATATTCAACCGGAAACTACATCATGATATATCGAAGTGCGAAGTTTTTCTTCCTTTTCCGGTATGACGTGCCACGGGTGTCTGGGTAATATTTTTCGTCTTTCATTCTGGTTATGATACATTAGTATCAACGTCTGCAAAAATACAAGCTGCTTTTCATTGGACCGGGTAAACTTATTTCTTTCATTAAAAATAGTTTTTTTACATATAAAACATTAAGGTATTCTAATTTAATTCAATAAATTTTCTCTTTTATCTCTACCCAATCTGATGGAAAATGACAGCTTTTAGATATTAAGTTGCTTTATAAAAACGCTTATTCATTTTGCATGGTGACATCATTAACGGTCATGTACTTAAGCACTGTTCAGTTTCAATTTATCATACAGTCCTATGGTTACATCGTGATAAATGAGATTAAGTCTCTGAGCTCAAATATGATGTGTATTCACAGTTGTTAGAGAAAAAATTGTGGTTTTGTACATATTTTTCACATTGAAAGCGTAAGTTTGATTAAATCAATATTTTAGTTACATAATACCATATATTTGTTGAGTTTTTACGAAAAATTTCATTATTACAAGTAGAAAACATCAAAATTCAAAATGTGAAAATGGATATTAATGAATTTTACTGCATGATTTGGTGATCGTCGTAATTGCGCATACACAGAGCAATTGAAAAACCGTCGCCAGTCGCCAGGCATTCTGGGTAAAATTTCTGTGAGTAATCAAAATGGCTGTCATACAACATTTCCGTTTTGTAACTACGTTTTAACGGAATTCGTCAAAATATTATTTTTGATGATATTTTCTTCGAACGAAGTGAAAAAGTATGAATGCATATTTGATAACAGAACATATTTTCCCAGATTGTTTGTATTATTGTTTATAAAACAATTTTTCTTAGATTTTACAGGGCGTTCGTTTTAGCGAGGGGTGTAGATGAAAAGGGGGGTGGGAGAAGTGCGCGCGCGTTGCATGATGGGACGACGGTCGGGGAGGGCGAAAGAACGAGTCGAGTTCACAAAATGGCGGCCAAGCTCAGGCCCGTGACCATATAGTACGTGAAAATTCGATAATTTTGCACGATGTCGCGACTTTGTACATCAATAGTCGTTTGATATTACGAATACGTGTATACACGGTAGTTTAATTATTAAATTAACTTGATTTTGTGCGTGGTGTGTGTAAGATTGAGATTTCGGTGTGACGCGCAGACGGAACGATGCAGGTGAGTGATTAGGTTCGAAAATAGTTCAATTTTCAGCTTTTTTTGGATATTTTTTAAACAATTATTGTTTTTTTTTGTTGATGTATGAGTGTTAGTGTCTTTTTAAAGATCAATTTGTATGATACGACTGTGGTGTTGTTTGGAATAGGGAAAAATCGCGTTGTCACATGCGTTTCAAGGGACTGCTACTAGAAAAATCCTCATAAAAATGAAAAAAATTGTTATAATTTCATTAAAAAGGTTCCTGCGTATAGGGTGGGGTCCTATTGACCTTAAGAGCTCAGAGACTTGTCTCCACTAAATCACAATTTTCCACAATTTTACATAGTTTCCAGCCTCTTAATAACCTATAAGTTTGTTTACATTTATTCAATTTGATATTCATCACTTAAAATATCATTGTTCCACCCTAATTTTCACAAAAAATGATTCCTTGTACTTTCCTTTACCTTACCCTCATACTTAATCAAAAATTTTTAATGGACCCATTTTTGCAAATTTAGCTTAAAGATTATGATGCACACTCTCTTCATTCCAGTTGAGACTGTGTAACACAATCACCTGTGAAAGCTATAACAACTAATGTTTTTCACATGGAAAATATTTAAAGTTTTCCCATCTGAAGGAAACAAAGGTTTCTCTAATATTTGAACAATTTTTACATGTCAAATTAAAGATTGTTCTTCGTTTATCCTGTGTGTATTATATGAAACTTGGATTTGTATTCAATCTGATGGGTAATACATTCATTTTCTGTTTGTAAATAACAAAAAAATTATATATTTGTAATTTTAAATATCATTTTTAGTAGAATCTTGTAAAATCAAAGTACAAAATTGAAGAAAAAAATGATTTATATAGAGTAAAGTCCTTAAAATATAAGATTTTTCTTCAAATCACATTAATATATGAAATAATAATTCTTTTACAAATGTTCCTTGTAGTAACAAAATATTTAATATCATAAAATGTATATTTTTCATCGATAGTTGAAAAGTAAGGAATGATTGTTCAATGTTGTAAATGAGTTATATTTAAAATTTCTTTTGCGAATGTAAAAGTACATATTTGATTAGTTCCTCTTAAATTATACAGTAGGTGATTATTAAAAATATCAATTATGTATGAAATAAAAACTATTTAGTATACTATTCGTGTTAATAATGATAGGGTATTGCATAATAATAATCTGAGGTAACTGTACCTTATTATAAAATGGCCACATTAATGTGGTATTACTGTTTCTTATAAGAAATTAAAGGTATCAAAGGAATAACTGAAGTATAGAAATGTTACTTTTGTTATATGAAGCACATATCACAGTTCCAATCATAAATTGTTTTTAGTGTATCTAAATCTTTCTTCTCAAACAATATATGCTTCATACAACAGATTTATCTTATAGATTATGTTTTCATTAATATAATATTGAGGCTACTTACTAGTTTTGAAAATATTCTAGTATCATGCTTGGTATTAGCTAATAGAGAATTATTATAGATAAGTCTTCTTTTTCTTGTGAATCCATACTTGTAAATTACTGAAGGATTGTAAATCCCTAAGTTCAGTCAGGTGCTACTTATGATGTACTTGCTAAGTTGTTCAATAAATGTGAAAAGTACTTAAATGCTGAATTATATTATTCTTTTAAAATACCCACTATACCTGATACTAGTTATTTACAGGAAGTATTTTCATGTCATATTAATCATTCACAGGAAATTCTATAAAAATATAACTGCTCCATGTTAAGATGTAATTATGTGCAACCTACGATAAGTTTTTTTAGGTCTAATTCATAATATGCTACTTAAAATATGGTCAAGTCATTTAACATATAAAATGAAGGTTCAACATGATCTGTATTAAGAATATTTAATCATATTTAGGCTACTTGAAGTTGTGTAAGATGGTGAAGCTAAGAATCACATATCCGTAATGTATTAAAATGTATCTCTGGAATGCATAAAGGAGCTTGTAAGTTAACTGCTTCTTAACTACAAAATGGTGGTCAAGAATTATAAAATGGAGGAAGAGCCTTCTTGGTAGATGGCACTACTAATTTTATATGCAACTTTGTACTTTTAATATTAAAAGGATATGAGAATACTTAAAGAAGCATCATTATGCAATGTTATCAAGAATTTGGAGATACAATGTAGTAAAAGAACTTCTATTATTAGAAGTAACAATAATATATTGGAAATATATTTTTATCTTAATATTAATGAACAAGAACTATTCCAAACAACACGCTGCGTATTGAATATATTTGAAAGTTAAACAATATTAGATTACTCTAATTAAATTACAGAAAACATTAGAATCTGAGTCTGGTAAAGAATCTGGATCTGATTCTGAAAATGAAAGTAAGAGTGATAGCTCTTCTTCAGGAAGCAATACAGGATCTGGCTCAGGATCAGAAAGGTGGGTATCAAGATCACTGTTATCTAAATCCCTTTCTTTCAGAAAGTCCAATATATGACAAATTCAAGTATTTCTTGGTGTTTTCACGTTTATATGTTTTATGTGTGTGTTATTTAATCTTTTACTTCTTCTTCTTCTTCAGTCATACTAAGAGCTAACACTTAGAATTAAATATTTCTTATTTGACTTTCTGATATATGAAGGGTTCTTTGAGATTGTGTATTGCTATAGCTTTATATAGTATTAACATTGCTTTGATAATCATGCTAATTCAATGTATCCCTTGAATTTTATATAAGCACAATTCATCAATTTTCTGTTATTCATGCAATAATATTTGTTTCTTTTTTTTTTTTTTAAACAACTGTTAGGTAAGTTAGAATTCTACTGCTTTTACTTATAATTAATTTACCTTGATAAATTATGCACAATGTGTGTTAATATAGATTGTACAGGGACATAAAAAATATTTTCTTAAAAAATAAAAATATCTAAATCATCATTTAAACATGTATTATCTAATTAGTCAATACAAATCAAATAGTACTCTCAGATGTGTAATGCTTATACAACTAGTGTGTATAGTTTTTACTTCAAATCATTAATCAGTAGAAGGTACAGAAAAAAGATATCAAATA